GCAGCTGCGGGTCCCGCCGCCTCCCGTGGGGCCGCCGCGGGTCCCGCGGCCGGGGGCACCGTGGGGCGCCGGCGCCTCGAGGCCGCAAGGGCTGCGCAAGCCCTGCGGGGCGGCCGCCCCTCGCACCTGAGCGGGCGGCTCCTGCCTCGCACCTCCTGGACGGAGCGAGTCCAACCCTGTCCCATGCGCACGGGCTGCACAGGAGCACAGGCCCTGGCTGCAGCCTCTGAGCTGCCCTTGCTCTGGAGCAGGGTGCACCCAAAGGTCCTGCAGTGTGAGGGGCCCCGCTCAGCACGCAGGGGCTGGTGCTGCTGCCTCTGTGCAGAGACCCGCGCCGTGCGGCTGGACTCTGCACTGAGCACAGCTCAGCCGTCCTGGGGGATGCCCCCTCTGAGCTGCTCTGCCCCCGTGAGCTGCTCCGCGGGCTGCTGGCTCTGCGGCCAGGAGGAGCAGCTCACATTGGGCCTCGGGGTGCCCCTGGTCCCGCACAGGGCCGGGAGAGGGTGAGGGGGATGCCCCAGGGCTCCTTTTCCGTCCCCAGCAGCGGCTGCAGCCCCGGAGCGAAGCCGGGCCGCTGTCCTGCTGTGGCAGCCCGTGCTGCTGGGGAGAGCGGGCACTGCCATCTCAGCCGGGGCACAGCTGGGACATGGACACAGACCCGGACACAGACCCGGACACAGACCCAGACACAGACCCGGACACGCACTGCTCCCGCTGCCCCGCTCCTCGTCAGGGTTGTGCTCCGCCAAAGCCGGCAGGCTGCGAGGCCAGCCAGGGAAACCAGCGGGTTTTCTCACCGGTGCCTGCACCTATTTTTGACCAGAGCTGTTTACGGCCGGCAGCAGCAGTGGCTCCAAGTGCGGCAGCGGGGAGCCGGGGCCTCGCGGCCTCACCCCTGAGGGGCGGCTGCCTCCTCGCGCGCACAGGCCGCCTGCCTCCCCGTCCCGCTGCGGCGACGCTGCGCTGGGTTTCGTCTGCACCAGCGCCCAGCTGGACACGGACACAGACCTGGACACAGACCTGGACACAGACCTGGAGACGCCTTGAGTGGGGCTGTCTGCCCCCGGCTTGTCCCGCGGAGCCCCAGCCCCCGCGGCCGTGTCCCCCGAGGCGCGAGGTCGTGGGCCAGCTGTCCTGCCCGGAGCAAGTGCAGTTCCTGCCTCTAACGAGCAGGCTGGCTAATTGGCGAGACCGGGATCCTGCCCAGCTCCGCCTGGCAGGCTGCCCCACTCCCAGGGGGCCAGCATCTGCAAAGGCAGGATTGATGGAGCCCGTGAATAAGCCCTCTCTTAGGCAGCACGTGTGTGTGGATCTGCCAGCGCAGGTCTCCAAGAGGACGGGCCGTGGGGAGGGGGCGCAGGCTGCAGGACGGTGCAGGCTGTGGGGCGGCCGGGGGCCGAGTTGCACAGGGGTGATGCCGGTGGAGGGGCCGGCTGGCCAGTCCGCTCACTTCCTGGCTGCTGTCGGAGGTGCCGGTTGGAGCCTGTGCAATGGTTGGGTGGTGTGGGGAGCCGGGGGGCAGGCGGGGGTCAGGTTTGTGCTGAGCGAGGTGCCGGCATCGCTGGGAGCAAGAGCGACGCAGGGAAGCGCTGGGGGAGCTGCCAGCGTGCAGCGCTGGCCGGGTGCCCTCGCTCTCCCCACTGTCCCCATGGCCAGGCCGAGACCCTGGCGCCACCCGGCACGTCGGCCTGTGCCCGTGCGCAGCGTCCAGCCCGGCCTCGGCAGCCCGGCCTCGGCAGCCCTCGCTGCCCCGCTGGGGCGCTCCTGCCGCTCGCTGCGCGCCTCGCTTGTGTTTAGCTGAGCGCCATGGTGAAGTGGAGCCAGGCTGCCAAAACACGGCAGGCTTTCAGGCGTCTCTGAGCTCCGGAACGGGATGGCGGCAGGGTCAGGCGAGGTGCAGCGCCGGCTGCAGGGACGGAGGGAGGAACCGCCGCGGCCTGCCGCCGCTGGGCTGAACCTTGCACGGCGCGGGCAGCAGGGAGCCGCGCGAGCCCTGCGGGGAGAGCGGCCAGAGGGCCCGGGCAGGCGGCTGTGGGGCTGCGTGTCCCGGGGGACACCAGGGAGCCGTGTGGTGGCCTCATCCACCTCGGCAGGCACCCACGGGGCGCTTGGTCTGCACCATATCTGGCCTATTAGCCCGGAATGGAGCACGGGGCTGCGGTAACGCTGCCGTGTCTTCTCTCCCCCAGGTACGCCATGGCGCTCTCCAACAACCACATCTGCCCCGTGCATAACTGGTAAGGCGCCGAGGACGCGCTCGGCAGAGCCCTGCGTGTGCCGTGTCGCCTGGGCTGCTTCGTCCGCACGCGGGGTCGGCGGGCGGGCCAGGGCAGCGGGCGCCCGACGCCGCTGCTTGTGTGCGGACGCGTGGCTGCGGGTCCGTGCTGGCCGATGCAGGGGGATTTGGGGCTGAGCGGAGCTATATAAAGCACCCCCGCCGCCACCCCGTGCAGACGGGTGTGTGGTTACGGCTGCTCCCGTGAGCGGTCCAAGCCGGGTGCAGAACGCCCAGGGAGAAGGAGGCAATTGAAAAAAATCCCAGCATGGAAAAAGTATGAAAATAAGTGGTTAGGGAATTACAGAGGGCCGAGTGTCTTCATGGAAAGGGTTGGGATTTGCTTGCCTTTAGATTGAACCTGACCATCCCTCTGCCCCTGCAGCACCAGAGATCCGTGTCCCAGACAGCCCATCTGCAGACGCGGATCTGCAGCCCCTGCACTGGGATGAGCTGCAGAGTGGGAGTAAGGCTGGGAATAAGGCTGGGAATAAGGCTGCTCTGCTCCTTTGGCAGTTTCTTCGGAGTGGTTTTTGGCTTGTTGTGTCTCCTGAAAAATGTGCCCAGAAAATCCATGTTAGTTTAATTCTTGCCGGAGTGTTTGAAGGAGAGAGAGAAAAAAAAAAAAMMCCTCTGCCATTTCCTGTCTGATAGCTTATTCTGCCTTGGGAAGAATGTGTTTGTCGGCGTTGTCTCTGTGGCATAAACAGACGTTAATGATGAATAATGCTTCCGAACTCTGGGCTGCTTGCTTAAAAAAAATAGAAAGAGAGTCCCAAACCAAACAGCACCGCAAGAGCAGCCCTTGAGGAGCCCGTGGGGCTCCACGCCTCGCTCAGCTTTCGCGGTTGGAAAACAAAGCCACCAGTAAATGAGGAGACTGAAAAAACACCCAAGAGCAGCCCGGCCCTTTCCCCTTGGAGCCCGCTTAACCGTGCGGGCGCCTGAGCGGCTGGAGCARCTCTTGCCTGGCCCTCCATGTGGGCACGACGCGGAATCCGGCGCACCCCACGGACCTGGCTGCTCCCGCGCACGCTGCGGGACCCCGTGAGCCCCTGCCCGGAGCTGGGAGGCTCGTGTGCTGCCTGGTGACATCCCGCGCAGCCGCCTCGGGAGCGGGGGTGTCCATGCTCCGGCTCCGCGCTGGGCTCCCGGCGGGACGCGCGCCCTTCCCGGCAGCGGGGTGGGAGCAGCCGCCCCCGCGGCGGCCGCGCTCCCAGCGCCGCGGGAGCTCCGGGGTGCCGGCCGTGCAGCCAAACCGCGGGACAGGGGATTTCCTTCGCTCGCCCTCCGGGGCCTGCGGGCCCAACGCCTGCCCCGGGCCCCCGCGCGGCAGGACGAGCGGCAGCGGCTGGTCCCACGCGCCCCACATCCCCGGGGCTGCGCGCGGGGGCAGCTCCTCGCCCCGAAGGGGAACCTCAGCCAGGGCTGCAGTCACAGATGCGATGGGGACAGATGCCTGGGGCTGATTAGAGCCTTCAGCCCTTTCCCAGGCCGTGTGGGTTTGCGGCTGTGGGAGGCTCTGCCCGGCCCAGCAGCTTCCGCAGGTCGTCAAGGGCCCCGGGGGCTGGAGGCCCCGCTCAGCGGCCAATTTCCTGGGGCCCGTCTTCCCACAGGTCCTCCGTGTGCGGAGACGGTGCCAGAGGCTGCGCCCCCAGCCCCTGCTTTTCTCCCACAGGAACTACAACCAGTCGTGTGGCATGGACGGCCCCGGCTTGTGCTGCACGCTGGATCACATCCCCCTGGTGAGGTGAGGAGCGGCGGGGCGGGCGGCGCGGGGCGGGCGGCTGCGCGGAGCGGGTGTGCGAGCGCGCGGCACTGGGTCCCCCTGGGCGCTGGGAGCCTCCCCGTTGCCTGGGGGGCTCGCGGTGCGGGCAGGGGGCACCGACACGCTCTGCACCCCCGCTGCTAAGGGCTGCCTGTTGCCTTCTGCCCGCAGCAAGTGTGGCACCCTGCCCCCCGAGAGCTGCTTCTTCAGCCTCATCTGCAGCCTGGGCTCCTTCATGGGTAAGTGTGGGGCACGGGGGCTGAGCCGGGTGCCCCGTGGAGCTGCGCCAGCTCCCAGCACCCGCATCGGGGCAGCGGGAGGCCGYGTGTGACCGGCGCCGTGTGCCCGTCTCGCAGTGATCCTGGTGGGGCTGCTGCGGTACGCGCATGTCCTGGAGTGCTGCGGGCCCTCRCTGCTCAACACGCTGGGGCTGGCCACCGGCTGGGTCTGCGCTGCCGGCCTCACCATGGTYGGCAACTTCCAGGTAAGGCCGCTCYGCCGGTGCCGGCAAGTCCCGCTGGAGCTGCAGGGCTCACCGGCAGCCCTGTGCCGGGYGGGGGGTTGCGACAGCAGCCCTGAGGGGCTTGATAGGGGGATGGCTGTTTGGCCATGGGCAGTGCTGCTCCTTCACCTCCTGCAGGCRCCCTGAGATTCCTCCCTGTTTGCACACTCAGGCGTTTGGATGCAGATTAAGCTGCGGGTTTGGCTTTAACCCTTATCTTGCAAAGCCGACGCTTAGGCAATCGGCAGCCTGGGGTCGGGGCTCTCGCCCTGCACGGGCAGTCCGTGCCGATGTGTCCGGGAGATGCTGCTGCCTTCCTGCCACGGGGGTCACGGTGGATTGGGGCGGCCAGGGCGGGACGGGTGCGCAGGGCCCCACGGCTGGGCCGTTGCCACCAGGGTGGTGGCAGCTCCTGCCTCGTTGCCGCGTGTGCTGCCCGTGACATCCCGTGTTCGGGATGAGCTGCTGCAGCCAGGGYAGTGGGGCCGGCGCTGGGCCCTGAGCCGCGTCCCTGGTGGGGCTGGAGAGCRGGATTCGTGCAGGAGCTCTGGGCAGGGGCCTGGGGGAGCTGCCGGCGGCGCCGCCTGTGCCGGGAGAGCGGCCGCTCCACRGGAGCCGGGCTGCCCGGCGCTGCCTCCCGGCGGCTGTTTGTTCCGGGAGAGGCTGTGCCAGGAGACGTGTCTGGGCAGACGCCGCTTTCTGGTGGCTGTTTTTCTCCACCCCCAGTCAGGCCATGCTGTCGCGGCGGGAAGGGGAGGGCAGCTGGCCCTGCCTGCCCACTGGGTCAAGAAGCAGGCGAGCGCTGGGCACCGGTGCCCTGCTCCAGGCTGCCARGCCCGGCCCCTGCGGGGTCCTGGACTCGGCTCCGCTGCTGCCCCTGGGCTGTGGTTTGCCCCGGACCCAGCAGCAGAGATGGGGCAGGGCTGGCTCGTGCCGGGAGCGCCCCAAGTGCCAGCGCGGCGGCCTCTCCCCGCAGGTGGATCATGCCAAGGTGCTGCACTACATCGGCGCTGGCGTGGCCTTCCCCACCAGCATGCTCTTCGTGTTCCTCCAGTCCATCCTCACCTACCGCATGGCCAAAACTCGCGGGCACTACTGGACCGGACACTTGCGTAGCATCCTCACAGCCATGGCCTTCATCACCCTCGTCTTCAGTATCCTTTCTGCAGCAGCCTGCGAGGAGGAGGCYTCCTGGGGCGGGAAGGACTGCAGCCCGTGCTCAGAGGATGCCGTGACGAGAGGCTGTCTCATCACGCAGAGCACAGTGCAGTTCATTGATGGCGCTGTAGGAGGGGGCTGYGGGAAGCCGTGGGGCTCGCCCTGCCGACAGGGCACAGCAGCAGGCTGCACTTGCAGCCCCATCCTCAGTGTCCAGCCTGGGCACTTGCTGGAACCAAGGCCAGGGATCAACTGGGAAGTGAGGTGGTGCTTTTATAGGAGCAGTCTCAAAGACACTTGTCCTTGCTAGCCCTTGGGCATGGAAATGGGAAAAGCATGGGGCTGCAGTGGGGAGCAGATTTGGGGAAAATACGTGGGACTATTCCTGGAGTGACCGGAAAGGGGAAGCAGAGGGGCCTGCCTGGACAGGCCGGGGATGCTGGATCGGGATCCCAYCTGGCAGGAGGCAGGGCACTGCAGGAGGCTTCACCTGGCACCTCGCAGCTCTCCCATAGCAAGCTGCGACTTGTGGAAGCCTCAGGAGAAGGAAGGGAGTTTCCTCACATGCTGTGATCTATAATAATAGTGTGCCAGCTGCCTGCCATGGGGTGGGGGATGCCTGGGAAGTACCCACCTTGTGTTTGCACTTGGATGAAGTCTGGAATTAGGTTTCCCTGGATAATGCAGGCGCTACAAAAACATAACGAACTTAACGGGAGGTGGCACCTTGGAAGACCTCGAGAGGCAGCAGGATCCCTGCCAGGGATGGTGCCCCCCGGGTCAGCACGGAGGCAGGCAGAGGGCTGCAGCGAGGTGCTGCAGGCAGCGGGGCAGCAGCCCAGGCCTCGCTGTGAGAGGTCAGTGAGGTTGAGGCTCTGGAGGTTTATCCTGCGGGAGGACTGGGAGTATCGGAGGAAGCCGGTGTAGGAACGGGAGCTGGGTGCGTTCGTGCTCTCGGGCAGCCTGGCCGTGCTGCACAGCAGGCACCCGGCTGTCGCCCTCAGGGCTGCAGACCCAGTTCCTCCTTCCCACAGCGTCCTCATGAAATCCCCAGCTGGCAGCGGTCCCGCGAATTGCCAGGGTGACCAGAGCGTCACGGGACTGGGGCAGCGGCCACACCGAGTGCCGCTCTGCTTTTGCTTGGCATCAGAGATTTGGGGAAGAGGAACAGGGGCTGCACGTAGCTCTCTCCCTCTCGTCAGCAGCTTTTGTGCTGAGTAGATGGAGCCAGGCGGTGCTTGGCGCTGCGGCCGGCAATCCCACACTGCTCCCTGATGGTTGTCCCCATGGCCCTGATGCGGGACAGGAGTTCGCAGGTTTAATATCAGACCACGCACAGTCTTCCTCCTAAGCCTGTGCGGGTGCAGGAGCTGGCAGTGCTGGGAATGGGTCTGGCCAGCACTTCTGCGGCTGCGCCTGGGGTGCAGTCCACTTTCCTTGACTCCGATGCCATCAGGTGGTGTCTTCTTCATCCAGGAGAGCTTCGTGCTGCAGCACGTGGCTGCCCTGTGCGAGTGGATGTTCATCATCGACGTCCTGGTCTTCTACGGCACCTTCACCTTTGAGTTTGGGGCCATCTCCACGGACACCTTCCTGGTCCTCCTGAAAGCCAGCCGGGCCCCCAAGAGTTACAAAGCCGAGAGCAGCGCGTCCAGCACGGCCCACATCCACAGCCACGCGGAGGGCCTGGCCATGATCTGACCCCGCGGGTGGGACRCAGCAGGGACCAGACGATGGGACAGTGCAAGCGATTCCCCTGCCTCGCAGGGCTCCAAGGCGCCCGTGGCCGCCGGGTGCGTGTGYGTGTGTGCGTGGGTGCGYGCTGGCCGGTGCCTCCCGGGGCGGCCGTGGACGTGCTGCCCCCAGCRCGATGCCCTTGGGTGGAGAAGGGCGGTGGGTCCTTGGGGAGCTAGGGCGGGAGGTGCTGGAGGGGAGCGGGTGCTGCCAGCCCCAGGTCGTGAGGGCTCTGAGGTGCAGCCCCCAGGACTGCCCTTGCGGAGCCTTGGGGGGTTGCTCAGGGACCCTCATCCCTGAGGGATGCGCGTTCTGGAGCGGGATGTCCTCCTGCCGCCCCTGCTCTGCAGGAGCTCCGGCTGCGGAGGCCGTGCTCGCAGCAGGGCCTCCCGTTTCCTCCTGCCCCTCCTGCCACGGGGAGGCTGCAGGGAGCCGCATAGGGGGCCCCTGCACCAGCTGCTACGGCCAAACCAGAGCCAAACAAGTGCCTTTCCCGTCCTCGTGAGCTGGTGCTGGAGCCAGCGCGCCGGTGCTGCCCATGTGGAGGTGGCTGCTCCCTGGAGGGGCACCCGGAGGAACTCCCCGCCGCGGCGCAGCCCGTCTCCACACCGCAGTCCTGTCCCGTGTTTCCCGTGCGGGGCTGCGCGGCGCGGTCCTGCCCTTCCTGCCGCGGAGCCTCCCGCCAGGCCGCGGCAGCGCCGCAACACGCAGCGCCTGCCGCGGGAACCAGCCGCCCTCCGGCGCCGGGGCGCGCGGTGCCGGCGGCGCGCGGCTCCGATCCGGCTCCTGCCGCTGCGCCCGGCTCCGCGCCGGCTCCTGCCGCTGCCGTCCCTCGCGGAGCCGCCGCAACCCCTGGGGAGGAAGGAGTGCGCCTGGATGTCTGTGTATGCGTCTGTGTATATATATATATATATATATATATATATGTGCCTACATATAGAGAGAGGTTATATATAAGTTCTCCCCTTGTCCCTTGAGAGGGGCATTTGCTGCTGCTGTGCGTGTTGATCAGGTTGTGCTGCCCGGTTTGCACACCTCCACGTTGGCCCATACACCCACCAGTATACGTAGTTGAAAGAGGAGCATATCTGACTTTTATATATAATATATGTTTAAAAGTTTATAAAGAGAAACAGTGAATTTGCAATAATAAAAGTGAAAATCAGGCAGSTGTGAAGCAGAGGCGCCTTCCCCAGCACCAAGGGCTGGGCCGTCCCGAGCCCAGAGCTACCCCAGGTCCCCATAGACCTGGCTGGTGCCCGGGACCCCTTTGCTGGTGTCACTTGCTGCTGCCTCAGTTTCCTGCTCCCAGGCCCGGGCTGGGGAAAGACAGAGGTTTCACAACTCAGTGAGGAAGCCGCCATCCCTGCCTCTCTGTCCTGGGCCCTGCTGCAGTGGAGGCYGCAGGAGGTGGCCTCTGTGCTGGCATTTCTGTGCCCGCTGCCCTCACAGGCCGCGCTGGGCGGGCAGCAGAAGGCCCCGTGTGGGGTCTGCCCGTGTCTGCAGCCGTGCTCAGGGCAGCGCCGCAGCCTCCCTGCTCACACAAGTGCCGGGCTCRGGCAGAGGGCTCAGTGCTCGCACAGGAGCTGCTGACAGGAGGGTATCCGTGTGTGCAGCTGCTGCGTGGCTGTGCCCGCGGCCGGTGCTGCAGCCAGCCCCGCAGGCAGCTCCACAGGCCCRGGCCTGACCTATAGGGCAGTGATGGGAATGGGGGCTGCCCCAAGGCACCTGCCCGCGAGTGGGATGCCAGCCACGGAGCAGCATCACAGTGTCCGGCTCATCCCTGCCACTGGACAGGTGGCTGCCAGCGGGCGCCGTGGGGCTGAGGGGCCCTCGGGGGGCAGGCAGGCCGCAATGGGGCACAGGGGCTGCGGCCGGGCCGTGGGGCTGCCCCCCGGGGCTGCCCCGGCTGCGCAGCGGGGCCGGGCGGCGGACCGGGCCGGGGCGGCGCCGGGGCCGGGAAGCCCCGGTAGGAGGAGCCGGGCCGGGACTTTCCCAGGGCCGCGGCCGGGCTCGCCGGGACGGCGCTCGGGCTCGAGGTAAGGGGGCAGCGCGCGGAGCCGGGGGGCGCGGGCCGGGGG